AGAATTGAATGATTTAGAATAAAATGAATAGTTTAATCATTTCTCTGTAAAAATTAATTTATTTTTTATCAGTTTTTCTCTCAAAAACTGTCATATATCTGATTTATTATTAATTGATATTATACTGTTTCTTACTGTATCTCAAGAAAGAGATTGTAAAGATTTTATTGATTTATCTTAAAAATTAATTTTAGTTTATTCAATTCTCTTCAAAAATCTAATCTAGTTACTGAACTAGTGTGAAAAAAATCAGATGTTTTTTTTATAAAAGTCTTTTATTCTTCTTTTGAAATAGTCTGATCGACTTTTCAATTGAAATCAGACTTAGAATTCTCTTAATTAAAATAATCTAATCAACTTTTCATTGAGTGAGAATAATGAGTTCAAAAATACACTTGGATAATGTGAAAAAAGATGCTTTCTCAAATACTATTTCCAAGATTGAAATTCTGAAGAGAAGAAAGAAAGAAGAAATAGAGAAGTAATAAGTTCTTGAAATACAGAAACTTGAAAAAGTAAGCAAGATTCTTGAAAAGCAGTATCTGAATAAGATAAATAAAGAAGTTCTGTTAATTCTTCATACTCAGACTAGATAACTACAGAAGATAATCAAGTTCAAACTTAGAATTTTAAACACAGTTTAAAAAACTTTGAAAATTTCTAGTATAATCACTGACTCTTCACTTTACTCTTCTTCTTTATCTACTTCTTCTTCTTCTTCAAATCAGAAGAAAATATATACTTAAGCAGCTGAATCTGCTATCTCAAAATCTACTATCTCAAAATCTGCTTAAAATTCTGAGAAAACTGAGAAGAATACTGCTCATACTTCTATTTATAAAAAAGTGAAAAAAAAATGTAAAAAGAGAAAAACTTTCAAATCTTCAGAAATAGAAGACTTATTCTTAAAGTCTTAAATCAGAATATCTTACAGAGAAACAAGCTAAACTTAAATCTTATTTTTAGAATTAGAAATGAAATTAATCAGCAGTTCTTTTCTCAGTTAATAACTGATATTAAAGTTTAAAAATCAGTTATAGCTTTAATTAAGTCATTCTTCTTTAAAAACTTTATTATTCTGACTATAATGTCTGAATTCAGTATAGAATTTCTTATTCAGAATAAGAATCTCTGAAAATTAGTAGTAAAATATTTATTAAATATAATAATTCTATCTAAGAGAGATGAAAAGTGAGATAAATTTATTTTTTATAATACTTCAGTTGAAATTTTTGACTGTGAAGAAAAAATACTACTTTTTAAAAATGAATTAGAAGAATATAACTCTATTCAACTTAGAAAAGAGTCTGTATAACTAAATTCAATTAAGTTCAGATAAAGTAAAATAAATATCTCTATTCTAATGTATATAAAAATACTTGAATAATCAAAGATCTCTGAAGTAAGAGTAACAGATTTGAAAATAAGAATTCATGAATATAAAGACTCAAGAATGAATCTCAAAGCTCAAATACAGTATTTAAACTGTCAAATATATGAATTCTTTATAATCTCTTATTTTAGAGACTTAAAATATACATTCTGTGCTAGAGATCATAAAACTAGTGAGTATAAATATGAAACTTACTCAAAAAGAGATGAAATATATTAATATACTCTGCTTAAATACTCTAATTATAAAGAAAAATATACATCTAGTTTAAAAGAATATATATTTACTTCAAGAATGCAAAAGAACTAAAGAAAAGATGAAGCTTAAAATTAATCTAGAACTGAAGAGAATAGTCAAGTCAGTAAATCTATAACTGTAGACTTAAAAAGAAGAAACTCTTAACTATTCAAATCTTCAAACTTCAATTCTTCAGTTAAATATAAACAGAATTTGAATTCTGACACTTTTATTAAGATTAGAGAATTGAGAAATAATTCTAATAATAAACTAGATATAATATAAGCAGTTGAGATTTCTGCTTTTTAAAATAGCTATAATCTACTATCTGATAATAGTGATTAGATTCTACTCTATCTCTACTCTCTTTTAGTATGAATATACAACAAAAATAATAAAAAAAGTTTAAAAACTCTTCAAAAATCACATTTATTCAAAATAATATGAATAGAAACTCAAATTGTATTTATTCTTATCTTTAAATTATATTTGAATAAAAAGTTAATTTTATACTACTTTAGAAACTGAATTTTGATATTGAGTAAAAATATATTATTTCTCAGTCAAGCTACTACTACTTTCTATCTCAAAAGTCTGAGATAAAGTCAAGAGTAGTGATCTATAAAAGAAAGAGATTAAGATATTAATTTAATCTAAGATTTAATATTATATCTGACCCTGATATTCTGATGAGTATTATTATAGATAAAGAGAATAAATTTAATATTATACAGCTTATAAATATCTATAATAAAAAGTTATTGAAGAAAAATAATAATATCTAAATAATTAATAAAGAATTTCTGAATATAACTTCATTAAGAAACTCTATAATTATAGAAGATTTCAATACATATTATCTCTAATGAAATTCAGAATATAAAGAGTAATAAGAGTAGATATCTGATTAAATAAATCTTTAAGTATTCAATAGATCTAGTTAATAAGTCTGATTAATAAACATTCTTTAGAAAAGATATGAAACAGAAATCTATTATAGATTTAATCTTTATATTATAAAATCTAATTAAAAAAAGACTTATAAACTAATTTATTAATTTAAATGAGATATCAGAATCAGATTATAAGATTATTCAATTTAATATTAAACTGAGTAAAAAATAAATGAGTGAAAATTCTCTTCTCTCTAATTAATTTAATTTTGAAAAAGCTGATTGAAAAGCAGTTGAAGAAAGTATAAAATTATTAAAATCTGAAAAGTAGAGTAAGCTATATTGAAATTCTGATCAAGATATCTCAAATGAAATACTTAAGAATAGAGTGAAACTTATTACATCTATTATTCTAATAAATATTAAAGATAATATTTCAAAGAAAAACTCTTCTGAGTACTTCAAATCTTAATAAAATAAGAATATTATATCTAAAACAAAATAATTAACTACTATTAGAAGAGATTGAAAGAATGATATAATATCTAATAAAGAGTTTAAAACTGTCAGAAATGAATATTTTTTAGATATTAAAAGAGCTAAAACAGACTACTGAAACAAATTTCTTAAAGAAGTATAAGAAAAGAAAGTTTTTAAAGCTTTTAATTATATTAAAATAAGAAGTGTAGTAAAACTTTCAATCTTAGAATATAAGTTTTAAAATGAATTATATATAGTAAATTCTTTTGAGAAAAAATATTAAGCTTTTATAAGAATTCTCTTTTAAAACTCATCAGATTCAGATTCAGAGAAAGAGAATATATCACTTTATAACTATATTAATGAAAATGACTGAGAATGATCTCAGCTTATATAAGATGAATTAAAGTCAGTTATCTTCTCAAGTTCAGTTAAAACTGCTGCAGAGTCTGATTCAATCAATCACTTAATTATTTAAAATATATACTTCTACTTAAAGAATGAATATTTTAAGCTCTTTTTCAATCTCTTGAAAAATGAATATTATTCTGAATACTGAAGAGAAGTCATTGAAGTAATTCTTATAAAATCTAATAGAAAGACTTTAATTTCTAAGTTATATAGAGTAATATCTCTATTAAACTGTCTAGAAAAGATTTTAGAAAAGATAATAGCTACTTAACTAACTATCTTTTATAAGCTCTATTAATAATTCTCTTTTATTGAGTGAATAGATAAGAGATAGAAAACAATATTCTATAATTAATTCTATTCTCTCAGTTATTTATAATATTTAAATATGTAAGAGGCCTACGCCGAATAGATCAGTATAATATTGATAGGTCTTATATAACAAAGATAAAAACATTAGAGAAGGAAAGAAAGAGAAAGTGCAAGAATCAGCAATCAAGGTGAATATTTATACGTGTATGTAGTGGCGTACGCAGTGGAGCTTCGGGGCGAGAGAATATACGCGTGTTCATAGCAGCTGAGGATCAGTGATTGAGAATGACTGAGAATCAGAGTGTACATATTCAAGAATGAAGTGATTGAAATCTGTGAAGTGTAACAGAATAGTCTATATGATTGATCAGGTGCAGTCTGCCACATTAATCCTCTCTTTCAGAAGCAGTTCTCATTGGTCAAGA